ACAATCAATGCTTGTAGTAGAAAAAAAGAAGTGGTGGTACTCAACCCCATTCTCCCACCCAAAAATAAATAAATAAATACAAACTAAAGTACTAAAAAAAGTACTTTTTAATGTTCATAATTTGCAATGTATATAGTGCCAAAATAAATAAATAAATTCATTAATAACTGTTTGCAATTCAATTCACATTTATTTATGTAGCAATTTTCATGATACACTGTTGCGAAGCAGCTTCACAGAAAATTAACATTTGTACATTACATTACATTTAGTAATTTACAGCACTTTTAATAAAAAAATTGAACAAGTCAATCTGCGATACCAAACAGAAACACTGGGGGATGCCAAAAGACCACTAAATGAGCTACCTTGACCTGACTGATCCAGATTTACTAAACCACTGACTACTGCGTAATCTAAAACACCTTCAGCCAGCATCCAGTATAAAACACTCGTGCTTTTAAGCCAAATAGCTTGCTGATTTTTAATTTTTTTTTACTGACATCTGTACGTGAGTACTATTATCTCTGCCATCTCTGATGAAATCGGCAATGTTTTCTCTGCATTAGCGCTGTTTTGAACTTACTGTTTGAATGCATTTGCTTACTGGAAAAAACTGCTTCTTTTTATTTTCATAATGTATTGTTGACACGTGCGAAACAGATACATTTAGACTACTACTGTTGTGCTATGTAAATACTTATTTACATTAGTTGGCATACGCATATAATGTCTGATCGATAGAAAGCGTTTCTGTGAGAGTGAATGAATGGGAATCCACCTGCAAGCAGAGAGATTTGCACTCGCACATTTGATGCGCTCTTGCATAGGCAATATGCGCTCTGGACATTTGTCATTAAAATAACTGAATAGAAACCGCCTCAAACGAACTATTAAAACGAGAAGAAAGTCATGTCTGAAAGCTGCAATCGATTTTTTAATTCGTTAAATGAATAGAGAATATTGTGTTTTTCCATTTCCGTCGGTGGGGCTCTAGCACTGAGGTCCGCACTTATTCCCACACATCTAATCCTAACCATTGCGTATCATATGCACACCAAAGTCAATTTATGCGTATAAATAGAATGCCAAATAGAAACAGAAACATGTGGTATTGATACACACTTTCATAATTTACGATATAAAGCTGCATAGATTTTTATTTTAAGACAATCATATGCTTGAGTTTGACACATGTGCCCTAGTGCTTTAACAAATTTTAGGACTGGGCGATATGACTATATATAACAATGACATAAGTAATCAAACAGCTTTACATCTACCTATACTGTATATATAGTGTTGTCTAGCAGATAAAGCGTTCACAGGCTTTGTTTTATGTATTTCCCAGATGTTTTACTCCAGTTTACGCAGTTTCCCCTATTAAAGCTAGTCATGCTGTAGGATGGCTGAATGAATTCAGCCAGCTGAATGGGCATGTCCCGGAGGGACCTCTATTACATCCTTGCCCTACAGCGCCCCACTGGTCAAACTGCATTACTGCAGACTATTTGACGTCATGTCTGTAAACATAAAGAAGTTGTCCCGGCTACTAGGCTATCGCATGTGAGGATCCTGCAGGTGGCGGATCGTTTATAGCCTTTTCTCACAGCAGCTGGTATAATTAAATGTATCATTTTGATGGCGGATTGTAATCCATAAAGGATTATGTGTTTATGAAACACATGTGAATGAAATTAAATTATATTCCAGTTTTAAATGTGCTTCTGATATCAGATAGCCTGGGATTACACAAGATTTGTATTTTAAAGAAAACCAGTTCGAAGGGAGCATAATTTGCTTTTTGGGTTAAAATAATTTCTTAATATGAAATTCGAAGTGTATGACAATTAGATTAGACTGTGCAGAAATTGAATCTACATGCTAATACACACTATACTCATAGTCACCAATGCTGATTAATCATTTGAGAATAAAGTATAACAATAATAATAATTTGAACGGTTTGATGTGATATGAGCTAACTGATCTTTAGATTTAATCACCATTGGTAGCGAGATTTATGGTAATGCTTTTTTCCTCAGTTGGTCAGAACAAACGTGGCAGACTTGTTACTTACTTGTTCAGATGGCAATATACAGTGAAAATTATTATTTGGGTCATATATTCCGAGATGTAGGCTAGAATCTGTGATTGCGAAGTACAGTAAATATCCACACCAGTGCGGTGACTGACTGCCACACATACTCTTCAGAACATTAGATTCATCCGCGCGGGAGCCGCGCCCACTCACAACCCACGCAAGCGAGATAATTCCGCACTCAGCTGCAATTCCAGGTTTTCAAACAGAGATGGCGACAAAGAGGCAAAACTTACGGACTGTATAACTTTAAAATAAGTGTCAAATAACAAGGGCTTTGTGACAGGCTTCATGTGAACACATACATGCTTTTAAACACATTTTTCATAAGTAGCATTCAGTTCTTTTCACCAAATGACTCTACTACCATCTGCATGTTGGGGTTTTCGCCGCGATGCGAAATTATTTCGCAACATAAGAACCATTTTGGGTTCCACAAAGAACCTTTCAGTGAACAAGAGCCATGTTTTATAAAAAGAACTGTAAGTAGATCATAGAAATTATTATAAAAAAAAAAATATATATATATATATTTATTTTTTTATTTTTTATTTTTTAATGTTGTCGATAACCTTGACTAATCATTTCAGCCCTACTGAGGTGTCATGCACATTTAGTTTTACAGAAAAACATGAAAAACAATTACAATCTAAATAGGACTAAAGTTTGTGAGAATGTGCGCCTTAGTTTCACTGATCACCAACAGGGGTCAGATAGGGAATTAGAATGATATGTAAAGAATAATGTCCAGTAAAGTGGTCAATGGTACAGTTTACTAGCATTATACAAAAACTTCCTAACCAGTCTTTAGTTCTCTAGAATAGTTAAATGTGGTTGGTTAATCACAACAATCTGCTGTGAAATGTTTTTTTTTCTTTGATGGGTTTTCGCCGCGATGCGAAATTATTTCGCAACATAAGAACCATTTTGGGTTCCACAAAGAACCTTTCAGTGAACAAGAGCCATGTTTTATAAAAAGAACTGTAAGTAGATCATAGAAATTATTATAAAAAAAAAAATATATATATATATATTTATTTTTTTATTTTTTATTTTTTAATGTTGTCGATAACCTTGACTAATCATTTCAGCCCTACTGAGGTGTCATGCACATTTAGTTTTACAGAAAAACATGAAAAACAATTACAATCTAAATAGGACTAAAGTTTGTGAGAATGTGCGCCTTAGTTTCACTGATCACCAACAGGGGTCAGATAGGGAATTAGAATGATATGTAAAGAATAATGTCCAGTAAAGTGGTCAATGGTACAGTTTACTAGCATTATACAAAAACTTCCTAACCAGTCTTTAGTTCTCTAGAATAGTTAAATGTGGTTGGTTAATCACAACAATCTGCTGTGAAATGTTTTTTTTTCTTTGATTGTTAGTGTCAAATGTGTTCTGTTTTTATAATTGTGAGATATTCTTTTTAAGCAAAGTGCATTTTTTCCTTTTTTTATTTTCATTTTAATTACATTTTTAGTTAAAGTTGCAGTCCGTAACTTTTTTTGGTTAAAAATGATCCGAAATCAATATTTGATCAAGTACATAACCAGCCAGTGTTCAAAACTATCGCCTTACATTAGCCCGATTCACAACGGTTAGCTTATAATAATGTTTTCTAATTTGAGTGGTATGGGTAGGTTTTCGCGGGTGACAATTCTTATTTGGGTCATATTCCAAGACGTAGGCTAATCTGTGATTGCGAAGTACAGTAAATATCCACACCAGTGCGGTGACTGACTGCCACACATACTCTTCAGAACATTAGATTCATCCGAGCTGGAGCCGTGCCGACTCACAACCCACGCAAGCTAGATAATTCCGCACACAGCTGCAATTCCAGGTTTTCAAACAGAGATGGCGACAAAGAGGCAAAACCTACGGACTGCAGCTTTAATTATTGTGTGTCATGAATAGATGCTAACTCTATATTGTATATTATTTCTGTTTTTACAGGAGTTTTTTGAGCATGCAAAGCATCTGTGGGATGACGAGGGGGTGAAGGCCTGTTTCGAGCGCTCAAACGAGTATCAGCTCATCGACTGCGCACAGTAGTGAGTATCTGTTAGTATGTGTCAGCTTTACTCCCACAGTACTGCTGTCATCTCTCACAGCGTGTCTCCTGATCATCTATCATATTTGCTGAGTGAAGGTTTCTTGTCTGAGAGTTGCTACAGAACCCTTGTGCAGCACAACCTATTGGATAGTGCAGAGTGGATTTGTTTACTTGTGTGACCCACAGATGCAGTGCAGTGTCTAAAGTGTCTTTCTCTTCATCTAAGTTTTTGAGCAGTTGGCTTCCTATGCAGGGCATTACTCAGTATAATAGTCTGTATGACAATGAGGAAGGAATACTCTAAGAAATAGATGTTATTGACTTGACGTTTCTAAAATTTCTCTTGACCAGGGGTCTCCAACACTGCTCCTGGAGAGTTACCTTCCTGCAGGGTTGGACCCCTCCTCTAGACATTTCTCTACCAATTCTTGTACTACTGATTTGCTTTGGTAATAATTGAACAGATTTTTGTCTTGGAAACTTAACAACAACAACAACAACAAAAAAACTAAATTTAAATGGCTAATTTCTCCTTCTACCATATCTTATCATGAGTCGTGCATATATTTAACTTTACAAATATTTCTCCCTTAATTCTTTGAGAGTTTTTCCATTTCCAAGCATTAACAGTCCAAGTGATACTTTTTCTGCATTCCGTTTTTCTTTTTTCCCCATTTTAAATTATCTGGATTCAGTTTTTTTTTCTTTTTCTTTTCCATTAAAAATTTTCTGGACTCTGGTCTGGTGCTGGAATCTGTTGTTTTTGAAATCATACTGAATGTTCATTGCAATGTTATTAGTGGCAGAACATTCTCTTGTGGCTTCAGCGCTTCAATCTATCACTTAATGATGTTGTGGAGACTATCTATTAATTCCGTTAAATCACAAAACATAATACACACGTCCCTGCTCTTGATATAGGATCACTGATGAACATCTTTGATATTAATAAAGAAAAAAAAAAAGAAAAACATACGAGGGCAGATTAAAACCCAAAACCTCTGACACGCCTAACAAAAATGCTTCCACTAAACTGTTAAAGCATATGAATGTTTATTGCGTATCTATGTATCACTGATGTTAAGAATCTCTGCCTTATAATACATTTTAGTATAGCCTAATACATGTAAGACAGAAACTATCACATTAAAAATAAGTTTTATGTCCATACATTAACCCCCCACCCCCCACACACATGCACACTCACACTCACTCCTGTCCCACCCACTTTTTAAAACAAACTGATGACCATCATGACGCAACTGATGACCATCATGTCTCGTGCCAGCGGCCGAACCACAGGCTGCAGGCAGACCTGATGAAGGTGCTGTGTGCACCGAAGGAACAGCACCAGCTCTGAGTCTCACTTGGTTCTTGCTTAGGCATCCCATATTGAACTCCATCATTTAGCTGGGATGATAATCCTCCAATATAAAGTGAACGCTATATACCACCGTAATTTTTGAAGCAGATGCAGAGGTGGAGTCCTGTCTCTTCACCTGCACAAAACGCACCCAGGCACGGAAGAGCACCATACTTTTTCTTGTTAGGAAACGTAATATATTGAAATGCAAAAACTACCAAAAACCACACTGATTCACGACCGCTCCTACTGAATTAGGGATGTCACGATACCAAAAATCTAGTAGTCGGTACCGATACCACTAAAAGTACATGATATGCGATACCAAGTCGATACCACTGGAAAAAATAGCAATAATACTTAAACATTAACTCCTTTAATTAACATTACAAAAACGCAACATTAGTGGCACTTGTCCTTGAAATAACACACGCACACACACACCTATACTCTGAATGCAAGTAAGCATTAGTTTAAATTCACTAACATACTGGCAGGCCGAAAATATCTTTTAAAACCATTCATAAACAACAATTATTTAAAACAATAATATTAGCTGTAGGATCTCTGTCTTCGAACGGACCCACTCACACTATTGAGTCACATGAAACAATCACATTCCATTGAGACAAACTGAGGAGCACCCTATTATCTCCATCTGCGGTCGTAAAACTCATGCAGGCTCAGTGAAGTGTCTCAGCAGTTCCTGTACCATCTAACTTATCGTCTCAAACTTTCATTCTTCAGAACTATATGTGTGTGTGTGTGTGTGTGTATGTGTATGTCTTAGCTTAGGTCAATGTAATCTAGAATAGCCAATAAATTCTTGTTTCCTTTATAAAGAATCATTGTCTTGTGTCGTGACATTTTAAAGTTAAAACTCTGCCTAGATCCTTGTTACCTTGCTCAAAATTTAATAAGATTACCATTTTGTTTATGTGTCGTTGGCCACGAAGTAATATGAACAGAATCGGTAATGTACACGGATGTTAACGTCTCACTGGACGACCGTTGATAAAGTGTAAACTATCAAATTTGAAATAAGTTCTAATCAGGTTGACTCCGAATTTTCAGATTCGAGTCCTCTCAAAACCTGAATTAATTAATAATAATGAATTCCCTAAGGAAAGTAATCTGACATTACATAGCCAATAATGTTAATAAGGATAATCCGCGAATGTATACACAACAAATGAACAAGCTGTAAACTGTCAGACAGTTATGTGTGTGTGATCATGCACTGCGCTCGTGCTTTCAGAGCTGCACGTGCTCATTTAAGTCTCGCACAATCATATTCATATACCGTTGCCGTCTTCCATGTGTAGTTCTTCTGTGTGCTTGTAGGCATTTTTTCTTCTTTTTACCCTTTGAGGAGCGACTGAAACACTTCCAGGAGTATTCTCTGCCTGCCCCCATCAGTTCCGGAAGAATTGCAGCCTCGCTAGTTGCTACCTTCGGTACCACCGGTACTAAATACTGACTTGGTACCGTACTATCGGTTCTTGTGACATCCCTATACTGAATACCAACCTACTCTGCACTGAGCCAATGCAGAGCCTGGCAAACAACTCCCTCTCATGATGTAAAATGATGCAATGTTTTAAAAAAAAAAAAAAAAAAGCGGTTTTTGAAAACTCAGTGAAGCTATCACTTTTTCTACAAAATTTGTGCCCTCTTGTCTTGTAAAACATTTTAAATCCTGCATTAACTTTTCATGTAATATTTTCATACAAGGTTATTCATTTTGTAAAAAAAATAACCTGCAATATGCTTTTTAACTGGTTGGTCGTGGAGTGTGCAGTGTCCACTGTGGTGCTTTTCCACTGCATGGTATGGCACGGTACGGTTCGGTATGGCTCACTTTTGGGGGGTTTCCACTGGGTACAGCACCTGGAACCTGGTACTTTTTTCAGTACCACCTCAGCTGAGGTTCAAAGCGAGCAGTGCCATTACCAAAATGTGACGTGTAAACCCTGCTGATCACTGATTGGCCAGAGAGAATCGACACTACTTGCGTCATTGAACTTGACCCGCTAGATTTAAATCAGCACAGTCAGCAAAGGATCGAACGTAACTTTTTTTGAACAAACGCTTTAAACAAAAGTTTTGAACGAGCTTACCTTTTTTTTAACAACCAAAAAAGTTTTGTGGTCTGTTGAGGAAGTACAGACGTTCCTCTCGTTGATAGCCTAGGAGCGAATCCAGAGAGAGCTTGATGGGGCGATGTGTATAATCCCGCCCACACTAAAGCGGTACTAAACTACATCAAGTGGAGTACAGTGGACATCAAACCGAGCCGAATCGTACCACGTAGTGGAAAAGCGCCAACAACAAAAGAAACAACAAACATGCTATGTTTTTCTAATGCGAGAATTTTGTTTTGAAAGACGTAGGCTATGTGAAAGCTGTTGACTCTTCTGTTGGATGTGCCAGAGAAAAACATGTTGTCCGAATTCAGTCCAATCACATAAGCAAGGGCGTAGTTTTGGTTTGAACATTGGGGGGGTTGAAGTGTGAACTATTTTAGTAGAGTCCCAGGTCATGCTCACTCATAAGGTTTATTTATTTGTTTTTTGCTTATATATTTATTTTTGTGAAATGGTCTTTTGTGCTAGCATCTATGCAAAGTTGGTGTAATAAAATAACATCATAGTTAACAATTACTTGTTTATAGGGCTGTGAATCTTTGGGTAGACAGCGAATCAGTTCGATTCACGATTCATAGGTTTTCGATTCGATTCAAGAACGATTTTTGACTTCATAATAATAAATCAAAAGTGTGAACTGTTTTAGTAGAGTCCCAGGTCATGCTCACTCATAAGGTTTATTTATTTGTTTTTTGCTTATATATTTATTTTTGTGAAATGGTCTTTTGTGCTAGCATCTATGCAAAGTTGGTGTAATAAAATAACATCATAGTTAACAATTACTTGTTTATAGGGCTGTGAATCTTTGGGTAGACAGCGAATCAGTTCGATTCACGATTCATAGGTTTTCGATTCGATTCAAGAACGATTTTTGCAAATTCACAACGATTCAATTCAATTCGATTCACAATTAAATTCGATTCGATTAACGATTCAATTCTGCATTCTTTAAGTGCATTCACAGGATTATTTAAATGCTGCATGACATGGCATATGTAGAAATTTATGTAAGCCAAGATTTTAAAAAAAAGAGCTTTTAAAAGTATTATATAGGCTAACATTTTGTCACACCAGGGGGCGTAGCCATCATTTCAGAAGTGACAGAAATGTCAAATACAATAATTTTATGTATGTATGTACATACTTTACAAGGAATTATTTTCTTATCTCTTACTTTGAATTTGCTATAAGAAATCAAATACACTGCTGGACAATAATCAATCATTTGTAATCTATAATTTTTTCCTAATGGCAATTTTAGGATTGTTTTATATACTAGAACCAATTATTTCAATTTTCTGCACAGAATAAGGTAAAAGAATATATACTTTATAGTTTCTGTAGGCTACTGTAATAAATTATGTCAATTAGCACTGCATCATTCATAAATTGTATTTATTTATTGTGTTTATTGTTTTAACGTTTCAGTTCATTCTGCTTTTTATACAGTTTAGCTGCAGCTTTAGCCTGGCACATCTTAAGTTATTTGAGCGCGAGATCACTTCTCTTTCAGTTCGAAAACTTCTTTATCTAATTTTCATAAAATAAAATGCTATAGTGTTTAACTTTTCCTCTCCATCGGCGAATGATGATTAAGAAAGAAAACGCGCCCGATGTCTGTTTGCTATAGCAACGAACTACTTTCATGCATCTGATTATCAGATAAACCTTGCACTCTTATTTCAAGGTTGTTGTTAATGCTGTGGTTATTTTAACAGTTTCCTTCGTACATTCGGTTCAACGACATTGTTAAAACACATTTATCATTCAGTGGAACTGTGCATATGCTTTATACACTTCAATTTTCTTCAATAAATGCGCAGCCTTCGACTGCTCAGGTAATGTCGTCGAGAGCCATTGAAAAACTACAGAAAAGTAAAACTACTTCACTTTAGCATTACTGGCCACGAGTACTAAGGAGAGATCACACATCAGCTGCTCAAAAAATGTGTCAGTGAGACGAACGGAGCGCGAGCGCAATC